TCATCCTACAAGCGGCTCATCCGCCGCTTGTCCTACACTCGAAAAATCACAGACTCTCAACCTAGAACATTCTCAAGCCCCTTTAGCGCAGATGCCATGCCACAGGGCAATCCGATCAATACCTCATAAGGGAATGAGTTGTCCTCACTTCTCCAAACTCCCCAATGCAGAGTTGGGATGTGCCCCTTGGGTTCCCACCGAGAGCAGAGGCTGAGAAGCTGGCTCTGAAATAGGTTCATTTTGGGAACACAGACCAAGAAAAAGGAAGATACAGGGTATTGGATGTTTGTTTGTTTCAAAGGCCACCCAGGAACATAAACCCCAGTGGAATGGACGCTATGGCCACCTGCATTCAAAGGAGACAGACTTTCCTAATCTGGGCTCAACACCAATCAGGTGGCCTCTAGAGGTAGTGAGTTCCCCATCTCTGGAGGTATTTAAGAAAAGACTGGACAGTGCTTGCAGAAACAGGTCCTCTGAGACCACTCCAATCCTAACAGTCTCTATTTCTATGAGTCTGAACAAAAGTTGAGCAGGCACACACCCCAGGCCCCTCTTGCTGGCTCTGCAGCTGGCTTCTTAGCTGGGTGTCACCAAAGCTGTTTCCAAGCATGAGGTTCTTGGCCTCAGTGGGAATGCCGAATGCCTCTTGACCTGGGACGACAGCCGGTTGCATTTGGAGCTATCCCAACAACAGGAGGGATCTAGTGGCATTCAGTGCTAAGAAAAGGGGTGCCCAGCTCTTTGCCGCATCGAGGAACTGCCCCAATGCCAGCAGCTCCCGCCTTGAAAAATGCCAGGTTTCTGAGCTGCTTTGGGCCTGCCTGTCCCGGGACCTGGCATTGCCCCGTGAGGCTATGATATTTGGGGGCCAGGTGGGGTTTTTTAATGTGTGGTTCTGCTCTCTTTCCCAAATGTCAAATAAGGACAGGGACCCTGTTCCGGGCCCAGGTGAATCACCTGGAGCCTGAGGCAGCCGAGGTTGGTGGATGGGCCTCTAGGCTGCCTCCAAAAGACCTCTGTCCCAGGCCCTAAACTCCAGGTTCAGGTGGCCTGCTCTGCTCACCTGAGACTCTCGTGGACCTGAAAGGCCCCAACTCCCACTCCAATGAACACAGCAACGCCTGAAAGGCTGGCGCCTCGCTGCAGGAACAAAAGGAGTCAGGGGCAGGAACCGGTTCGTTCTGCTCCACCCGGTGGTTACTAAGTGCCGGCGGCGGCGATGGAAGATGGACTGACAAAGGTGCTGAGCTCATTCGGCCCGCAAGGACCCTGCAGGCTAAAGGTTCCGGCAGCACAAGAAATTCCAACGGGTTCAATGAGGCCACTGTCCCTCGGACCACCAGCACCACAGACAACCAGTGGGCAAGCAGAACCGAGATCCCCGGCTCAGCCACAGCGGCCCTTTCCAGAGCAAAGAGAGACCCTGCCCCCAGAGAGACCCCGCCCCCATAGACCCCGCCCCCAGAGAGACCCCGCCTCCAGGCCAGTCACCTGTCACAGGTGTGAGACGTTCTGAAGCACAGCTGCATCCAAACAGGGCTACTGCGTCCAGGCAGGCTGCCACCTGCAGCCTCTGACATCGGCTTTGTGAAAGATCTGTATTTGTGGGGCAGTTTTGGCCAAAATGCAACGGACCTGGATCCCTTGTCATGAAGGAACATTGGGTTTTCCTCTTGTGACACATGGGGGCGTCGTAAGTCCTGCCTCAAAGTCAAAGTTCACACACCCATCCTTCCCATGGCGAGTTTTGCGGTTTTTAAAGACAAAAAAAAACAATTCATTATGATTATTGTTGTGATGTGAGAACATCATTTCCATAAAATTTGGGGGGTTTTTATGTGAAATAAACTATAACTAAGAACAGAGGGTTATTACTTTTGTCCATCTCCAAGGACTGTGGCCCTTGCTGGTCTGGGGTGAGGTTCAGAGGAGAGAGCTTTACCAGCTCCATGCCTGGGGTGACCTCGGGTGACCTTGGGCCATCACCTCTCCTGTGTGGCTTCCATCTCTCATCTGCAGACTGGGGGCCTGGTGGGTTATTCCTGAGGCCCTTCGGACTCTGCCTCTTTGTGATTCAAGTTCATTTCCTGCCCCAGTCCTTCCTGGGATCAAATACAGTCAGCAGGTAATAGTAATGATAGTGTATTAATTATCATGTTTTATATATTATATTAATTACTATAGTATTACTATAATGTATTATTATCATTATTATGATTGCTAGTGAAAGGGAAAACTCTATTTCCTCTCTATACTCACACCAACCCTTCTGACACCGGATGTGGGGCCTTTTCTCCACACCAAACAGTTCTCAGCAGACACCAGCTGAGTTTCCTACAGTTTAACTCCATTCTGACACTACCCCGAGTTAGCACAGACCCCCCTTGTTAAGGGCTCAGCTCCACAATTGTCCCATCAGCTGCTAGTCAAAAGTAGTGGGTGCCCAGGTTACCCACACTTCTGTCCCACTTGGCTACAAATCGGGGCTCCCATTCATCCCCCCTATTTCAGGTTCAGTAATCTGCTACAGCAGTTCACAGAATTTAGGAAAACAGGTAACTTACTAGACTAGCAGTCTTTATAAGGGACAGAATCAGCAACAGGCCAGAGAGAGGCGCAGGACACGGTTTGGGGAGGGGTTCAGAGCTCCCACACCCCGCCCAAACCCCACCTCCCCGCATGCAGACATGCTCACCTGCCCCAGGCTCTCTGAACCCCTTCACTTAGGGATTTTTGTGGTGGCTTCATTCCATAGGCGCGATCAATTAAACTGTTGACTTTCGGTGATTTGACTCCATTCCCAGCCCCCCTCTCCTAAGTCTCCACCCTCTAACCCCCTGCTGGTAGCCTTGGGCCCCCAGCCCTCATCCTGTGGATGATGGAGCTTTTCCTAAGTCATGCCATCAGTATAAACTCAGGTGTGTTTGAAGGGGCCTCTTACAAATAGCAAAAAAGCTTCTCTCATCTTTATCACTCTGGTACTATTTCAGGAACAGAGACTAAAAGTCCAAATATATAACAGAAGGTACTTCCTCTTATCACTTAGGAAATTACAAAGGTCTTAGGAACTGTGTGCTGGGAACGGGGACAAAGACCAAATATATACTTACTATAAATCATAATATCACAATAAAAATAGCAATAATAATAGCCTGTGCCCAACTAGAATACTGAGGGGGAGACTGAGGCACAGAGAGATGACGTGGCTCACCCAAGGTCACACAGGTCAGTTGGGGGATTATGCCCCTCACAGGGGAGTGGAAGCTTCAGTCCCACTTTCCAGCTCCAACAGTAAGTAAGCAGTTGTTTGAACTTGGGCAAGTGTGTCCCTCAGCTCCCAGGGGTCCAGAGCAAGGACCAGCAAGTTCATGCCCCATCCTGCCCCATCCCCAGGCTGCTGAGATGCATGGGGCCAAACCTGGTGACTCCTCCCGGCCTCACATGGGCACTCAATGAACAACCCCCCAGTGTCACGCTGAGATTTTCTGGAAGGAGCCCAGGTCACCAGAGCACAGCTATCTTGGCACTCACCATTCCGACCTTTAGCCCGTCTTGGCACACAGCCCCCTTGGAAAGGGAAGTCTCCACAGGACAGGGAGGGTTGGTGGGAGGGGGGCTGGCGCTGGTGCTGCTGCTACAGCGAGTGATAGGGTGGGGATGAGTGATGACTTCTCTTTCCTCCGTGTCACCAGAACCAGCCTTAATGTCAGGGTCAGGCCAGAGGACACACCGAGTGGGATATTTTTAGGAAGGAAGATGTGTGGCCCGTTATCTGCCCCATGGGCAGCCTGGCTAGGAGTGGGGAAGAAAAGGGGAGAGAGAGAAGGTGTTGACGGGAGAGACCTGGTTCTTCTTGCTGATGATGCATGTAAAGAATTACATATCAGGATATCTGGTAGTATGTAATCAATTTATTAGTGGCCTGTTCCCATGGAAGAGAACAGGACCGGGTAGAGTAGGGGGTGAAAGGCAAAGTTTCAGGATAAAGCAGGGTGACGTAAGCAAGAGAGGCTGGAGACCAGGGTGGCAAGCCCCTGGGCAGCCTGAGGCTGGGTGGCCAGAGGCCCTGTGGCCCAAGAGCCAAGAGCACCCTGAGCCCCTGAGAGAGAGAGAGAGAGAGAGAGAGAGAGAGAGAGCTTTGTTCTCAGGACTTATATAGTTGGTGGGATAGGAAGGAAAAAGTTACATATTGATTAACAGGTAAATGTGGCACCAGCTTTCCTGGGGGAATGTGACGACCCAAACTTAGGGATGTGTGGGGGTCTGTTAGTCCGAATTCTTATCTTGCTCCAGACTCCATTTGGTTATATTGTTGTAAAACAAACATGTGACAGGAAGCAGTTAATTAAAATTGGGGCACTTTCTATATTGATTAATGGGTAAATGTGGCGCCAGCTTTCCTGGGGGAATGTGACTACCCAAACTCAGGTGTGTGTGTGTGTGTGTTTACATCTTGTTGTAAAACAAATATGTGACAGGAGGCAGTTAATTAAAATTGGAGAACTTTCCAAAGTTACTTATGGGCTCTTTCTGTAAGCATCAGGGACTCCCTCGTAAAACAGTGACCAGAGGTAGGCAATTAACCAAAGCTGTTTTATGGGCTCTTTCTTTGGGCACCGGAGACCCTTTCCTACATCAGGTCTTGGGATGAAAGCACAGTTTCAAGGCTTTCTTTCCCAGGTAGTGGAAATGTTACATAGAATTTCAAGGACTTTTCTTCTTTCTTGCTAATATAGTGTTTCTTGTGATGTTGGAACACCTGGCAATATTATCAGACCAGACTCAGGACTGCTGAGTTAGTGTGTGAGACTTGTCTCCTTCCTCCTCCCTGCCTCGGTTTACTGTTTATTCTACCTAATTGGTAAAAGGCGTTTCCTGGCAACCAGGGTGCTAAATGCTGGCCAGCGACAGTATTGCAGTCTCAGAGTTCTTTCTATGCTGTCTCCTGCCTCAGAGGGAAGAGGCAGATGGGGTGACATCTACCCGTACCCCCACCCAGCTGGCCCATGGCTAATTTAGGCAAAAGGCAACGTGCAGCTATTTCCATCCAGTGGGAACAGGTGCTGGGGGGGGGGCGCCGTGCCCCCACCGAGAGAGCTACGCTGTCAACAGGCCGAGTGGCCTCCCTCGTGGCGCCCTCCCGGCTGCCCCGGACTATAAAGGCGCCAGGTTTTCTCAATGAAGCGGGACGCTGTGCACCGCGGCGTTGGACCCAACCTAGTGCCCGGGATTCGGCAGGCAGAGGGCGATCCCCGCCGACCCTCCGCATGGAGATGAAGTGTATTGTGGGCATTGGAGGGTGAGCGGCCTGGGCGCGGGGGCGGGCGGGAGGCCTCATGGGGCAAAGTCGCCGAGGAGGCCACAGAATGAATGGAGGGCCGCCTGGTCCCTGGTGTCACAGGGCCTGGCGCCCAAGGTCTGAGTGTGGGTCCTGTGCCCTTGGAGGCTGCCTGCTGCCCTCAGCGAGTCTAGGCGCCAAGCCTAATTTTAAACTTCCAAATGGAAATCACTTCCCCTCTATGCTCATTGTAAAACTGAAAACCAGTGGGGAGAGTAGGCCTTACGAGGCACAGTCTGCGGCAGCCTTTGGTGGGGGACACTCTACCCAGAGGCAGACACGTGAGCAGGCGGGGCGGGGCGGGGGGGGGAGGGGCCGGGGCCCTGAGCGGCATTCTGGTGTGACTGTGTACGGCTGCCAGTCAGGGACTCCTTTCCCAGGGGATTTAAATTTTCCATTTTATCACCAATAACCAGGCCTTTAAAGATCATGCTAGGGAAGCCTTTTGCCTAAGCAGGGTGGGCTTGAGGACAAGAATATCCTACCCAGGCGGTTGCCCTGGGCCCTCCTCCCCTACTTGGTTTAATGCTCTATTGCCCAGTTGAAATTCCTAATATCTTTGAAGGAGGGCCCCTACCTTTCATTCTGTGCCAGGCCCTGCAAATTTTGTAGCCACCTTGAGGGTGATGTGTGCCTTTTAGTGACCACCCAGATTAATGTCAGGGCTTTCGAAACTGCTCCCCTTGATGCATGGGGGGTCCCCTTTCCCACTGGCCCTTTAACTGGCTTCAGCTTTCTCCTGCTCCACACCTGGCTTTCTGCATCTGATTCCTAGAACAGGGACACCTTGAAGGTCAAAGGGACATGCGTTTCCAGAAAGTCCGGACAGTTCCCTTTCTAGGTCCTTTGTCAGCTCTGGGAGCCCATTGTCTCCTTCCCTGTGCCACAGGGGACCCCACCCTAGTTCCCTGGCCCTGTGGCACTGAAGTGTCTCCAGGATTGGGGACTTCTGGTGCTAAAAGCAGAGACATCCTCGGAGACAATTGCTTTTTTCTTTTTCCTTTTTTTGCCCTTGATTACAACCAGTTCATAAAGTTGAGTGCCTCTTTTGGTTTTGCAGTGAATTGATCATTTTTCTATTGCAAGTGTTTTTTCTCTCTCCCAGTTTGCACTTCTTTTAACATTTTGACAAAAAAAAAAATTAAAAGCCCTACTAGGGCTAAATCATGCTTGGACCCCAGTTTCCTCGCCTGTAAAAAACGAGCTCCTGGCCCTGCCTCCTGAGCTTGCAGTGAGGCTGAATGGGCCGGCGCACTCCAGACTCCAGACCGCCCTGCGCCGGCCAGGGCTGGGTTACAGCCTGTTTGCTTCCATCCCTTCTCCCCTTCTCTCTGCTTAGAGAGCCTCCTCTGAGCGGAGGCAAACGGCAGTGTCTTCTTAGCTCTGAGGCTCTACAGTTCCGTGTTTTTATTTGAGTCCGATTCTGGGAGGACCCCCCAGAGCCGGCCAGGCAGCCTCATGTGTACGATGTCCCCGCAGCGTGACCAATGGTGGCAAGACCACACTGACCAACAGCCTGATGAAGGTGCTGCCCAACTGCTGTGTGATCCACCAGGATGACTTTTTCAAGGTGGGTGCCCTCACCGGGGAGTTGGGGGTGGGGGAGCCGGCCAGGCCACCCTGCCCTTTGCTGCTTGCTGCCCATGTAAGCCAGGCAAAGACCTTTCACAGGTCTCCCTGGGCCAGGAGAGCAAGAGATGAATGTTCTTATTTACTGAGCACCTACTATGCCCCTGGCACATTCTCACTGGACACCTGCTCCCCATTGGACTGATGGGGGCACTGCAGTTCCCAAAGGAGGTGTGCCACCAGGCCAGTGCCACTGTGGCCTTCCAGGCCCTTTCTCCCTTTGCACTTCCACTTTCTCTTCTGTAAAATGGGCCCTGAACCTGCCCTCCATGCCTTGTGGAGGGTAAGGGGTAACAAGTGGATGGATGCAACGTTCCTTCCCTTCTGGGTGGGAGAGGGGAGTATCCCAGTGCCAGCCCGAGCCCGGGGACCTCGGAGCCTGTGAGCACCAACTGCAGAGGGTCAGGGCAGGCAGCCCAGCAGGCACTGGGCCCCTCACTGTGGGTTCTCCAGGATCCTAGGGACCCACTAAGATTCTGTCACCCCAGGGTGGTGGTGAGGTGGGAAGGTGGGCACTGAGCCCGGGGCTCCGCCTCCTCTGTTTCAGCCCCAGGACCAAATCGCAGTTGGAGAGGATGGCTTCAAGCAGTGGGACGGTAAGGATGGCCGATGGCCCCACGACCCTGCCTGCATGGTCCCTCCTTTCCCCGACTCTGCCAGCTCTGCTGCCTCTGCTGACACCCACTCTCCCTGCCCCCAGTGCTGGAGTCCCTGGACATGGAGGCCATGCTGAGCACCGTGCAGGCCTGGATGAGCAACCCCCGGAAGTTTGCCCGTGCCCATGGCGTTGCTGTCCAACCAGACACCTCGGACACCCACGTCCTTATTCTGGAGGGCTTCCTGCTGTACAGCTACAGGTGAGTGTGGCAGGTTTACACCCCAGACCATCTGGGCCCTCCAGGGGTTGGGGGCGGAGCCGGGCTCAGCTCAGAGGTCTGGGGCAAAACCCCTGCTTCTTGGGGAAACTGGGTCCTTCTAGAGCTCGGCCCTGCCAGGCAGAGCAGGAGGCTGGGCTGGACCTCTGGCCTCACTGTGTGACCATGGGCAAGACATAGCACCTCTCTTGGTCTGTCTAAATTGGGGGGCTGCTATAGGGATGTTCCTGGGCATAACAGGAGACTGGCCGATACTCGTCCCCTCCCTGACCCCTACACTAACCAGCCCAGGCCCCACCCCCACCCCAGCCCTCATCACCCAGTCAAGTCCCTGGAGGCCAAGGCGGTGGGGCTGTGTACCTTGGACCCCTGTGAAGGAAGGCCCATGGTGCTGACCGTGTCCTCCACCCCTGCCAGGCCCCTGGTGGACTTGTACAGCCGACGGTACTTCCTGACCGTCCCCTACGAGGAATGCAAGTGGAGGAGGAGGTGAGCCCGGAGGCCCTATCTGGCTTCCCAGGTGGGCCAGGGAACCAGTGATGCCCACTGGACACAGGCCCCCCTGAAACCGCAGGTTGGCAGCCAGCACGCACTTGGCTGGCCCCTGCTCTGTTCCAGAAGCCCCAGCCAGGGACCTGGAGGCCTGGCCCACCCCTGCACTTCTCTAAGCATCTGCAGGCTCAGGGAGTGAAAATGCCAGAAGCTGGGGCACCCAGACCCCAGCCCATAGCCCTTGATTCAGCGGGGCCCCCTCTCCCAGTGGTGCCATCCCGGACCTATTTCACATCCCTCGGGCTCTGCTTGTGGTACCACCCCCAGGTGACACGGGCATCATTCATTCTTGCCTATCTCTCTTCTCAGTACTCGAAGATACGAGGTCCCCGATCCCCCTGGCCTCTTTGACGGCCACGTGTGGCCCATGTACCAGAAGTATAAGCAAGAAATGGAGGCCAATGGCGTGGAAGTAGGTAAGGCCCTGAGTAGGATGAGGCCTGGCCCTGGGGGATCCTGAGCCCAGCTGCTCCCCATGGGGACCACTTGGGAAACCTAGAAGTCCCTCCTCAAGTCTCACTGCCAGTCCCTCTTACTTTGGGCCCCAGAGGCCATTCTGTTCCAGCCACCTGATTCTGCAGGTCAGCTTCCCCCTGATCCAGCATCCTGCCTGTCTCCCTGCCTGGGAGCTGGCTGCCTGCCTCTTGGTGGCAGCCCTGGTGGCCCAGCAATTTCACTGCTGACCGTGGCCTTTTTTATTTCAGTGTACCTGGATGGCATGAAGTCTCGTGAGCAGCTCTTCCACCAGGTCCTGGAAGACATTCAGAACTTGCTCCTGAACCACTCCTAGTGTGGCTGGGGCAGGAGGGGCCCAGCCCCGGACTAGAGGGACCCACATATGGTCCTGGCCGGAGTCGGCCAGGCTGGCGGCATCCCAGCAGAGAACTACACGACCATCTCCCGCTGTGGCATCTGTGCACGTGAGAGTGGAGGCCCCACTCGCAGCTCAGTGTCTCTGGGCCCCAGGATCCCGCCCCAAGATGCCTCTGTAACCTCAGAGCAGCTCAAGTATTAAACCTGATACTGTTGTTGTTTTTTTTAAACTGTTGTGGCTCAGCCTTTGTGTCTGAGGTGCTGAAAAGGAACCTCTGGTCCCCTCTCCTTGGTTCTTTGGTGGCCTCTGGGCATGGCCCTGAGAGCTCCTAGCAGTTAGTCTCCACCCGTTGGACCCACACTGACATGACCCCGGGGGCTGCTGTGGGCCCTTGGGGACTCAGGTTCCCCAAAGGGGAAATTTCCGGCCAGCTCTCAACAGAAGGCACAGCATAACCCAGAGCAGGGGCTGGGATGTCAGCCAAGCCTGAGAGGGCCCCAGTTCTTGGCTGAGTCCTGCCCCTCCCATGCCCCCACCATACCCCCAGCACCTTCTCTGTGGCTGGAGTGGATACCTACTGTTTAGGATTATCGAGAAGTTTTGATGATCCAGGATGTTCACAAAGGACATACTTCCATGTCTCCCTGAGCTCTCCCCAAACCTCAGTGAGACAGTTTATTATTTTCACCCATTTCGAGGGTGGGTAGACTGAGGCTCAGGGATGGTCAGTGGCTTGGTAGAGCGGGGATTTGAACCTACTTTCTCTAGACACTGTTCTCTTTGCTCAAGGGAATCTGGAAGGTTCAATGGGGACCAGAGTCTTGGTGTGTGTGTGGGGGGACAGGGTACTCTCTGACCCTAGGGTGACACCCCACAGCCAGCTGTGGACCTGTAGCTTCCCACAGCACTCAGTCCAGAACAGTGTGGGAAACCTGCGGTCCAGGCCGGTTTGGACAAAACCAGTGAACATTCGGAAATTATGGAAGAAAAAAAATTACTGTATAATGCAGTTCCACTCATGGGAATACCCCAGAGAATTTAAAATGGTGTTCAAAAACACCTCATACATAAATGTTCACAGGAGCATTATTCACAGCAGCCAAAATGGGGAAGCGACCCAAGTGTCGTGGATGGGTGAATGGATGAACGTGACATGATTTACCACACAAAGGAATGTTACTCAGCCAGGAAAAGGAGCGAGGCTCTGACACTCGCTACAACATGGGTGGACCTTGAAACCGTGGTGCTCAGTGACAGAAGTCAGACACAGAAGGCCACAGAGTGTGTGGTTCCGTTTATGTGACGTGTCCACAACAGGGACATCCACAGGCACAGGAAGTGCTTTTGTAGTTGCCGGGGGCTGGAGGAGGAGGAGGATGGGGAGTGACTGCTAACGGAGATGGGGTTTTGTTTTAGGGTGATGAGAATGTTCTGGAATTGGATAGAGGTGGTAGTTGTACAACATTGTAAATGCACTAAAGGCACTGAGCTGTTGACTTAAAAATGATTAACTTTATGTTCTGAGGAAGGAGGGAGGGAGGGAAAAAGGGAGGATCGGATCTGGGCACTGGCACGATTCTGGGAAGGGGCCCCAGGCCAGCACTTGCAAGAGACACACGGGGCCAAGGTGGGGAGAAGGTCCGACAGGCTTTTTTGCAATATTTGCAGTTATTGAGCAAAGGCAATAGGGTGAGGAGTCTGGGTACCTTGTGCCCTGCCCATCACTCACCGTGAGGCTCAGACCCCTCATTTCTCCATCTGTGACAGCCCCACCACCCCCCAAGCTCCCTGCAGGGGACCCGTGGAATGGGGTCTCTGTGCGCTCGAAGGCCCCCCATCCCCCGACACAGAACAGGCTGGGCAGTGGGTTGACCCTACAGGCTCTGCCCACCCCAGGTCTGGGGCCCTAGCAACGCTCACTTCTTGTGTCCCAGCCCAAAGCCTCCCAACCGGCCGGTCTACGACGTGGCTGCCAGTTCTAAACGCAGCTTTCCTGCAAGTAGGAATCACCTGGCAGAGCAGTCGCCAAGGCTCTTCTTCTCCTCTGTGGCCTCAAGACACAGCACAGAGCAAACACAGAGGAGAACATGTTAAGTGGACAGGCAGGCGGATAGAAGAGACAAACTGATGAACGGCGGCAGAGCCACAAGAAACCACGTGCTCTGAACCTTGTCCTGGTCCCTGGCACTTATTTCAGCAAAGGCCTCCTGGGCCCTTTCCCCTGACCTGAGACCCCATCCGGGCCACTGGAAGGGTGGTCAGCTAGTCCCAGTTTGCAGGGGCTTCCCCAGTTTTAGCACTGAAAGTCCTGAACCCCCCAGAACGCTCAGAGCCAGGCAGACCCAGTGGTTGTCACCCGTGCTGCTTGTCTGTCAGGGGCCACAGGAAAGGCTAAAGGAGCCCGCAGGAGGGCGTGAGTTTCGGCCCCTGCTTAGCCATTGAGCCATGTCCCTAGTGACTCAGAATCCAAGGTTCTTGTATCTTAGAGCAACACGTGAACCTATTAAACCTCTCCTCGCTTCAAACAAATACGAACAAAAAACAAAAGATACCATATGGGCTCAACTGTGTCCCCTAGATTCCTAAGTTGAAGTCCCGACTTCCAGCACCTCAGAACGTGACTGTATCCGGGAGCAATGAAGGAGGTGATTAGGTTAAAATGGGGTCCTGAGAGTGGGCCTTAATCCGACATGACTGGTGTCCTGTAAGAAGAAAGTGGGACACACAGAGGGACACCGGGGCCCCATGCACAGTGGGGGCACTCGGAGAAGATGCCCCTCTGCGAGTCAGGAGGCCTAGAGAGGAGCCAGCCCGGCAGACCCTCAAAGCTGGGAGGTGGATTGGCGGTTGCCCCGGGGCTAGGGGGCAGAGTGGGAACTGATTGCTCATGAGGACAGGGTTTCTTCTGGGGAAAAGATGCAATATTCTTTTTTTATTTTTTAAAGATTTTACTTATTTATTTTTAGAGAGAGGGGAGGGGAGGAAGAAATCAATGTGTGGTTGCCACTCACAGGCTCCCAACTGGGGACCCGTCCACAACCCAGGCTTGTGCCCTGACTGGGAATTGAACCGGTCAACACTTTGGTTCACAGGCCAGCACTCAGTCCACTGAGCCAGGATACAATATTCTAAAATGAACTGTAGCTGAGGGTTGCACAACCCTGTGAACACACACAAAAAATTGAAGTGTACACATTAAACAAATAAATTGTATGATATGTTAATACTATCTCAATAAAGCTGTCTAAAAATTCTTTAGGATTTAAGGAAAAAATCCAGTGTGACTTTTATTTATTTCAGTGGTGTTTTCAACATCTGTGACTAGTAAAAAAAACCATGAATGCCCATTTGCTCATTAACAGCACATCACTGTCGTGCTGATTAATTGGACATGTGCTTTAATGGGACACTAAACGTCAGTTCATTCAATGAATGTTAATGGGTGTGGAACGTGTGGATTAACTGTGGCCTGTGGACCAAACCCAGCCCACTGCCTACTTTTGTACAGCCCTTGAGATGAGAGCGGTTTCACATTTTTACATTGTCAGGAGGGGGAAAAATACAAAAATAATTAAATTTCTTGACATATGCAAATTATGTAAAATTCAAATTTCAGGGCCTATAAAAAAACATTTATCGGCACAAAGCCAGGCCCATCTGGCTGCCTTCACAACGAGGTGGCAGAGCTGCGCGCGTTTCTGACAACGATCCTCCAGTCTGGTCTGCGAGGCCGACAAGAATTCCCTTCTGCCCCTTGGCAGGAAGCGGCTGCTGCCTGGTGTGGTGTATGCAAGGTCTGGAGCGGAGGGCCACGTTGAAAGGCAGCCTCAGGGACAGGCTGTGACTGAGATCACCGTGTCCTGGAGCAGCGCCAGGGGAAGCACCTGGTGGGCCTGCCAAGGCTTTCCCAGAGTGGATCCCCTGTCTCTGGGCCCAAAATAATGCAGGAGGGGACAGGGACAGGCAGAGGTGGCTCTGGGGCAGCCAGAGCCCTGACTGGCCATCCAGACACCTCGGTAACTGTGAGAACAGTAGCAATGGGGTGGCCAACTCAAAAAAAATCAGGAGATGAGCGTCAGTGAGGATGTGGGGAAACTGGGACCCTCAGGCACTGCTGAGGGGAATGAAAAATGGGCAGCGCTGTGGAGAGCCATTTGGAGGTTTCTCAAAAAATGAAACATAGAAATACCATGCAATTCAACAATGCCACTTCTGGATGGAAGTAAAAGAATTCAAAGCCAGGCTTACACAGACATTTGCACACCCATGTCCACAGTAGCATTATTCAAAGGAGCCAAGAGGTAGAAACACCCAAGTGGCTACCAACAGATAAACGGATAAACAAAATGTGCTCCGTCCAGACAATGAAATATTATTCAGCCTTAAAAAGGAAGGAAATTCAATCCTGGCTGGTGTGGGTGAGTGGACTGAGTGCCAGCCTGTGAACCAAAAGGTTGCTGGTTTGACTCCCAGCCCAGGCTCATGCCTAAGACCCAGGCCAGGTCCCCAGTTGGGGATGTTGGAGCGGCAACTGATTGATGTTTCTCTCCCTCTCTTTCTTCCTCCTTTCTCCTCTTTCTAAAAATAAGTAAATAAAATCTTTCTTTTCAAAGGGAAGGAAATCCTGACACCTGCTACAATGTGGATGAACCTGGAGGACATTATGCTCAGTGAGAGAAGCCAGACACAGAAGGACAAATCCCGTGTGATTTCAGTCACAGGAGGATTTGTCAGTCCCTGGAGGAGTCAGATCCACAGAGACAGGAAGTAGGTGGTGGAGCCAGGGGCTGGGGGATGGGGTGGGAGTTAATATTTCACGGGGTCAGAGTGTCCATTTGGGAAGGTGAGAAAGTTCTGGAGGCGGACGGTGGGGACGGCCGCACGACAGTGTGGGTGTGCTGAATGCCACTGGGCTGGACACTTAAAAATGGTTGATTTGGTAAATTTTTATATTGTTTGTATTTTTTATTGTTACCACAATTAAAAAGAATGCTAACAGGGTAACCACCTCATCCCAGTCGGCCCAGACCTTTCCCAGTTTTAGCAAAGTTCGCTGTCCTGGAAAACCCCAGTCCCAGGCAAACCAGGACAGCCGGTCACCCCGAGAGGTCAGGTTATTCTACGCCCTGTCTCGCTAGGGCTCAGAGGGAAACCACCCTGCCCAGGTCACTGACTCAGCAACACCGAGATGTGAACTCAAGC